TCCTCCAGCCCCCGATGGCTCTATTGTTCTTTCTAGTACTTACCAACACTGCCAAGGCTATAATTTTCAAACCATTAAAACATGATTACCTTAAAGTCAATAGTGACTATATATTAAAATTCATATTTACTTTACTAATGAGGGCCTAGGCAGAATGACAAAGCTGGCTCCAACGAGAATTCGAAAAACTGGGATTCTTCTAGGAAGTAGGAAAAATGAGGAGATAAAATTGCCATATTATGCTGGGTGCGGTGGGTCACACCTGTAATCCAAGCACCTCGGGAGGCCGAGGCAGGCGGATCACTTGAGGTCTGGAGTTTGAGACCAGCCTGGCCAACATGGTGAAACCCCATCTCTACTAAAAAAACACAAAAATTAGCCAGGTGTGGTGGTGTGCGCTTGTAGTCCCAGCTCGGGAGGCTGAGGCACGAGAATTGCTTGAATCCAGATGGCAGAGGTTGCAGTGAGCCAAGATAGTGCCACTGCACTCCAGCCTGGGCAACAGAGTGAGACTCCATCTCAAAACAAACAAGCCATGTTACATGTAAAGTCGGTTAATGTGCTACAGGGCAAAATCACTGTACCCCTTGGGGTGATCTTCCTACTAGATAGAAAAGAATAGCATCACATGGTTTCACTTCGATAGAAATGAAAAATGTGGCCAGGTGCGGTGGCTCACACTTATAGTCCTAGCACTTTGGGAGGCTGAGGTGGCAGGATGGCTTGTGCTCAGGAGTTCGAGACCAGCCTGGGCAACATAGTGAGACCCTGTCTCTACAAAAAAAAGTACCAAAAAGTTGGCTAGGTATGGTGTCATGTGCCTGTAATCCCAGCTACCTGGGGGGCTGAGGTGGAAGGATCGCTTGAGCCCAGGAGGTCAAGGCTGCAGTGAGCCAAGATCACGCCACTGCACTCCACAGCATGGGTAACAAGGTAAGACGCTGTCTTAAAAAAACAAAAAACAAACAAACAAACAAAACGCAAAAAAACAAAAACAAAAAACCAAAAAAAAAAAAGAAAAAAAAAATCCTTGCACCCTAATCAACTGTGTACACAAGTGCTGCACTGTCCTAAGGGCTCTAGCACACAGTCACCTTTTTGCCTCACTTCTAGCTTTTGGACTGTGGTTCTTTACACTACCTGACATTATATTTTGCGTTTGTTTATTGCAGGTTGCCACCTCTAGAATGTAGGCTCTTTGAGGGCAGACAGGTGGAATGCCTGGCTCCCTGCTGCCTCTCCAATACCTTATAAATATCCAGCAAATGGAAAGTGCTTGGTAGTTATTTGCAGAATGGCTGAGAGGGTCAGGCTGGGCAATGAATATGATGCCAGCCCTGTCATCCCGGAACTCATGATCTGGTGAAGGATGGATAATTATCGTACCAAGTTTTTTTTTTTCTCCCTCAGTCTGTTGCCCAGGCTGGAGTGCAGTGGTGCGATCTTGGCTCACTGCAACCTCCGCCTCCCAGGTTCAAGCGATTCTCCTGTCTCAGCCTCCCAAGTAGCTGGGACTACAGGGGCGCACCACTGTGCCCAGCTAATTGTTGCATTTTTAGTAGAGACAAGGTTTCACCATGTTGGCCAGGCTGGTCTCAAACTCCTGACCTCAAGTGATCGGCCCACCTCAGCCTCCCAAAGGCTGGGATTACAGGTGTGAGCCACCGTGCTGGCCTTGTTGGTTTTAACAGTTCTTTCCCAAGCAGGCTGCAGCTGAACAGCCAAGTCCCTTCCTCGGGCCATATATTTTTCTGAAAATGTTAGAATGTGTCCAAAAAAAAAAAAAAAAATTGAGTCCACTGGCTTGGGCTAATTACCTAGCAGAACATCCCCATGGTTTGGTGATTCTGAAATATCGCTGCCAAACAAACACTTGTAGAGGCGCAAACAAGGCCATAAAACACGGCAATGCGGGTGCGCTTGCACTCTGGGAAATGAAAATCTGATGATACTCTGAATTACAGTGGATCAAGATTAATTCCAGGCTCTACTTAGAGGAAGCTTTCAGGCCGAGTGGTTTAGACATAAAAGCAGTTTGCCCTAATGCGGCAGGTGAAAGCCGTGACAACTCTATTGCTTGGTGCCAATTACATTTATGGGCTTGTCCCCAGGAGTGCTAGGAAATTGTCACCGTTAGTGCTGACGTATTGCCAGCTGGTGGCTCCGTCTAGTGGGGTTCTGATTTGAAGACTCATTATTAATATTCCCCGTCGTGATCTGCAACTCTGCTCCATGATGGCAAGCCTGTCAGGAAAGGAGTTTGTGCAGGCATTTTAGAAAACAGCAATAGGTTGAGGGCTATGCGGTAGGCCCCAGAGCTTCAACTACTGTGCACACAAATCACCTGGTGTCTTGTCGAGATGCAGATTCAGAATCAGGTCCTGAGCTGAGGCCTGATACTTTTTTTCTTTTTTGGGGATAGGATCTCTCTCCGTTGCCCAGGCCAGAGTGCAATGGTGCAGTCATGGCTCACTGCAGCCTGAAGTTCTTAGGCTCAAGCAATCCTTTCCCCTTGCCTCCCAAGCAGCTGGGACTACAGGTGTGAGCCACTACGCCCGGCTTTTTTTTTTTTGAGACAGAGTTTTGCTCTTGTTGCCCAGGCTGGAGTGCAATGGCGTGATCTCGGCTCCTGCAACCTATGCCTCCCGGGTTCAAGTGATTCTCCTGCCTTAGCCTCCCAAGTAGCTGGGATTACAGGCATGAGCTGCCACACCCGGCTAATTTTGTATTTTTAGTAGAGGCAGGGTTTCACCATGTTGGCCAGGCTGGTCTCGAACTCCTGACTTCAGGTGATCCACCTGCCTTGGCCTCCCAAAGTGCTGGGATGACAGGTGTGAGCCACCACGCCTGGTCTCTTGCCTGGTGAATTTTTTTTTTTTTTTTTTTTGAGACAGAGGCTCGCTCTGTTATCCAGGCTGGAGGGCAGTGGCATGATCTTGGCTCACTGCAATCTTCGCCTCCTGGGTTCAAATGATTCTCCTGCCTTGGCCTCCCAAGTAGCTGAAATCGCAGGTACATACTACCACGCCAGGCTAATTGGCTGTTTAATATTTAGTAGAGATGGGGTCTTGCTGTGTTATCCAGTCTGGTCGAACTCCTGGCCTCAACTGATCCTCTTGGCTTGGCCTCCCAAATTACTGGGATTGCAGGAGCGAGCCAATACGCTCAGCCTGATGTTGCATTTCTAACCAGCATCCAGGTGATGCCATAGATGCTGCTACTGGTCTAGGGACTACACAGTGGGAACATGGGAAAGGCAAAGGCTCGGGAGTCAGATGGACATGGGTGGACATGAGCTCTAAACTTGACTCTGCCCTTGGTAGCTGTGTGATGTTGGGCAAGTTGCTTAACCTCTCTGAATTTTGGATTTCTCATATGTAAAATAGGGATCACTTCTGCCTTTTAGGTTCTTTGAAGATGTGTAATAACATACATGCATAGGTCTTCTTCTTGCTCCCAGAGGGGCAGGGCGAGGTCACTCTCCTGAATGCTCTGCACTACAGGTTCAGCCAAGACCCATGTGTTCTTCCCTAAAGTACTCGGCTTTCTTCTTCCAAGTCAGGATTTCTCTGCCTCGCTGCTACTCACATTTTGGGCTGATCCTTTTGTGTCGTGGGGGCTGACCATGCATTAGCACATTATAGGATGTTCAGCAGCATCCCTGGCCTCACCCACTGGATACTGGTGGCACGTCTCCTCTACCTGTGACCACCAAAAATGTCTCCCCACACTGCCAAATGTTCCTGGAGGAAAAATCACTCATAAATAAGAAACAATGCCCTAATTAGTAACTTATATTAGCAAATCATTCAACAATACATGTTGAGCATCTGTTTGCCAGACCATACACCAGGGATGTAGTGATATTTAAGACAAACAAGGTCCCTGACCTCATGGAGACTTTTTCCTTTTTGGACCTCAGTCTTCTCCGCTGTAATGTGGGTATCACAAGGCTGTGGACCTCCTAAATTTGTTGGGAAGATGAAATGAAGTTAGACTTGCAAGTGCCTGGCCCCTGGCATCAGGGATTAGCCAGTGCCAGGGGTATGATGGGCCTGGGGATGGAATCTGGGTGCTTGGGGAGAAGCGAGTGTGGGCAGGGACAGTGCATGGAGAAGCCAGCAAACCTGAGCTGCGAGGGAGGCAGAAAGGGCCATGCCAGGCCCTGGTGCAAAGTGTGCAGCAGTAGCAAGACAGAAGGGGCTGCAGGGAGGACCAAGGGTAGCAGGAAGATGGGACTGAAACTGGAGAGAAGGAGAGACAGTAGTACATAGAGAATGACAGGAAGGGGTGGTAGAGATGGGAGGAGAGAGGCACAGATGGAGAAGATAAAAAAAACCAGACACACAGACACGAGCACACGTGATAAGACGGAGAGAACAAGGGGTGAGGGAAAATGAGCCCAGGCTGAAGGGAGCACCTCCGAGGAAGATCACTGCACAAACCCCGGTCGGCTGCATGTGGCCCCAAAGAGTGGCTCTTAGGTTTATTCCAAACGTACCTGATTGGGGTGAGAAAGAGTTAAAATTAACTACAAAGGCCGCTGCCAGGCCATTCCTGGCGCCAACTCCTGGCCCTTCCTTCTCAGGGGGCCCTCGCCAGAGGGACAGGGTGGAGCATACCCAACCCTGCGAGGAAATGAGGCTTTTGTGCCGAGCGGAGATACGATGGCAATAGTGGCAATGGTAGTCAACCCATCCGTGAACAGCTGACACAGGGCAGTACAAGAATCCACCTCACAGCCAGGGCTGCAACCCCAAGTGAAGCGCACAGCTGAAATGACTGACCTGGGTGGAACTGAGCTGAGAAGGAACGTGACTTGCCTTGACCCTGGAGCACGTATCACAACCATGAGAAACAGGTCACTAAAGTGGCCCCCAGCCCACACCAACAACCTTCTCTGGCTGCAACTGGGCGGCAGGGACAGACCCCAGAAAACCATCTTGGGTCGTCTAAGGTACATGCAACCATACTTTTAAAATGACAAAATCTCGAGCACGTTGCTTTGGTGAGCTTCTGATTTTATTAGAAATATACCCTAAGAACAGTCGAGACGCCGCGCCTTGTGGAGGCGATGGGTCATGTTACTGGTTCTGCGATGATCTTCCAGAGCTCCTGCAGCAAACAGAGAAAAAAGGTTTCTGAAGTGCACATACAAGAGCACCACAATTTCATGAAGGAAAGTGATTCGCCAAGGAGAGCAGTTAAACAACACGCTAGCCATGGAGGAGGCGAGCTGGGGCAGGAGCGGGCGGGTGGCTTCCTCCTTTCTTTGTTTTTTTGTTTTTTGTTTTTTTTTTTTTTGAGACGGAGTCTCGCTCTGTCGCCCAGGCTGGAGTGCAGTGGCCGGATCTCAGCTCACTGCAAGCTCCGCCTCCCGGGTTCACGCCATTCTCCGGCCTCAGCCTCCCGAGTAGCTGGGACTACAGGCGCCCGCCACCTCGCCTGACTAGTTTTTTGTATTTCTTAATAGAGACGGGGTTTCACCGTGTTAGCCAGGATGGTCTCGATCTCCTGACCTCGTGATCCGCCCGTCTCGGCCTCCCAAAGTGCTGGGATTACAGGCTTGAGCCACCGCGCCCGGCCCCTCCTTTCTTTGTTGTTCTGGCTTGTTCTGTTTACTGTGGCAGAGGCTGGATGGATGAAGTCCCAGCATTAACGGAAGGGGCATCAGAGGATGTCACACAATCAGAAGAGACCAGAATAGCAGTGATTCGCCACAATCTCTCCATTTTTGGGAAGAGCTTTATATACAGTTTTATTTTAGAGACAGGATCTCACGCTGTTGCCCAGGCTGGAGTGCAGTGGCACCATCACAGCTCGCTGCAGCCTTCAACTTCTGGGCTCAAGCAATCCTCCCACCTCAGCCTCCAGAGTAGCTGGGACCACAGGTGTGCACCACCATGTGTGGCTAATTTTTTTTTTTTAATTTTTGTACAGATCGGGTCTATGTTGCTCAGGCTGGTCTCGAACTCCTAGCCTCAAGCAACCCTCCGACCTTGGCCTCTCAGAGTGCTGGAATTACAGGTGGGAGCCACCACACTTGGCCTTTTTGGGATGTCTTAGGCATCATGAACTGGGTCTACTGATTTGTAAGAAGTGCGTGTTCTTGGTCACGTGACACTACTCTTAATGTTGCCCACAAGTGGCAGAGCAATAAATACAAGATCCTCCTCGCACACAAAACCACACGAATTCCATGCTGCCCTTGCTGAGGACACGAGAGAAAGTGCGAGGGCGGCAGCTCCTCATGACTCCCTCTTCCTCCCTTATTCCTTAGAACTAGGCCTGGGTCTCCGAAGACACAGAGAAAGGGAGGCCACAGCCAAAAGGCAAACAGAACAAAAGAAGTTAATTCTCAATCTTTGGACTCCAGTTCACAGAGAAGCCTGTTCAGTCCGAGAAGCCGGTGCACTTCCACAGTGAAGACGTGACCAGCGGCCACCACAGCGGGGCCCCTGCACCAAGGTCTGCTACCCACAAACTTCCCTCCACTGACTTCCTGTTCCCCAAACAACGTCTGCCTCAGTCTCGCCTCCTCTGGAGTCTGAACTGGCCACGGGGGAAAAACGTGCTCTAAAGTAAAAGATAAGGTTCACCCGAAGGCCCCTCTCCAGACATGGTGGCCGCTCCCCCAACAGGTTCCCCCATGATGTAGCTCCCCCAACAGGTTCCACTACAGATGGTGCCTGGCACGCAGGCTTCACCCCCTGCAGGACCTAGGGCGGAGCCTGTGCCAGGAGGGCTTGCTTCATCACTTCTTTGCCCCGGAGTCACCCACTTCACAATAAAGCAACTAACGCCCGCTTCGGGGCCTGGACCTACCAGCTGCTGGATGCGCTCGTAAACCAGGAGCTGCGGGAAGGAGGCCTCCACGGGCTCCACCACGAAGCGCAGCTTGCCATCTGCGAGCTGCTCCAGCGCACGCAGGCAGGAGCGGAAGTGATCGTAGGCTTCACATGTGACGTCCAAGTGTCTCAGTGTGAAGTTGAGCCTGCAAACCAGCCAGCCGACACACACATGGCCATCACCACTGGGAAGGGTTTTGCTGTTTCCGCCCATCTTGCTTTCCTGCCCCTCACTGATCTCATATCCCCTGGATGGGCTTTTACAGAGCACCTGTCTCATGCTGAGTGCCTGAGCGCAATTCCTTCCTACATCTGCACAATAGCCTGGGGGGTGGAAACAGCTAGCACTTTACAGATGTGGAAACTGAGGCTCAGAAGCTGAAGTCACGTGCCCACAATGACACGGCTGGAAAGATCAAGACAGTCCTTGCCTCTGAGAAGCTAGAGCTGGTATAAGAGGCAGATGCAGATCAACACTTGAGGATGGCCCTGCAGGTCCTGCCTGCACCCAGCACAGACTCTGGTGGCTGGAGCTGGGCGTAACTATCTGTGAAATGAATGAACAAGAGGCAGTGGCAGGGGGCGGTGCAGAGGACTCTGAGAGCGCAGAGGACAGAGAGAAAACTGCTGGGAAGCGGGGGTCTGAGAGATTTCAGAGAGTGAGCGCCTTCAGAAACAGGTCTCCCAGCCCTGCCACTTGCCTTTCAAAAACTCAGTCTACAAGATGGTTTCACTTGAAATTCAAGCTCTTTGCCCTTTTCCCTTTTCTTTCCAATTTTTTTTAATGAAGAAAAATTCCAGACACACAAAAGGAGTAAGAACAGTCTATGCTGGGCATGGTGGCTCCTGCCTGTAATCCCAGCACTTTGGGAGGCCGAGGTGGGCAGTTCACAAGGTCAGGGGTTTGAGACCAGCCTGGCCAACATGGTGAAACCCTGTTTCTACTAAAAATACAAAAATTAGCCGGCGTGGTGGTGGGCACCTGTAATCCCAGCTACCTGGGAGGCTGAGACAGGAGAATTGCTTGAACCTGGGAGGCAGAGCTTGTGCTGAGCCGAGATTGCACCACCGCACTCCAGCCTGGGCGACAGGGTGAGACTCCGCCTCAAAAAACAAAACAGTCTAATGAACCCATTACCAGCTTCAGCCACTGTCCACTTTCAGCCACTCTGCCACCTTGGCTCTTCCTGGGGCCCCCAACCTCCTCTGTGAAGCTGAAAATGTCAGTGTGTGTCTCAAAAAGATGGAGACCTTTTCAACTAAAGTTTAACAATCACTCTTTAACATCAAATATTCAGTATTCAACTCTTCTCAACTGTCCTGATGTTTTTCCTTTACAGTTGATGAAATCAGGATCCAAATGAGGTCTGTACACTGCTGTTGCTCAGTGTGTGCCTCAAAGCAAGCCTCAGGATTACTGGTATCAGTAACGCTGCAGTCAATTCGCAGATACATAGAGCTTTGTACACAACCATAAGCGTGAATTTCCAGATGCTGAATTGTGGGGTGAGGAAGTCTGTTCAGTTTTATAGCTTTTGCTGTGGATTCCAAACGATCTTCAGAAAACTGTGGCATATTGTTAAGTATTGCAGGAGAATGTGTGTAGCTATCACAAGGTGGGCACTCAATACGTGGAACCTAACATTTTAGGATATTCAAGTGGAAATGTCTGGGAGAGGCTGTTGCGTGAGGAGCTGTCCGATTCAGCAAGAGAAAGAGACCTGGGGGAACTGAAGAGACAGACCAGACCGCACCACAGAGAGAACATTCAGGAAGAGAAGCTCTCGACAGTGTGTGCTGGACAAGCGTTGAGGCTCCAGTACAGCGGACATTCGAGTCCTTGTCTATCACTAGCTAGCTGTGCCCTGGGCAAGGCCCCTGGTGTTTCCCAGCCTTCCCCTCTTCATCGGTAAGATGGGACAGCAGTGCCTGCACATGGAGCTCACATGCGGACTCAGTGCAGTAACGTACACAACGGATGAGCACACGCCTGGCACACAGCAGGTGCTCAATAAGTGGCGCTGAGTAACAGTCATGATGACACTGACAAGGACACAATTAGGAGGTGAGAGTTCTGCCCACACTCGGGACGCCAGCATGGTCCCCGTGGTGCAAAGCTCACCTCTTCTCCACTGACAGAATGGCCGTGCAGGCATTTTTCAATCTGTGGGCGAGTCGGGAGAGGGTTTTAAATACAGCATCCGTCAAGTCATCGTCGTAAAACACTGTGGGAAGCAAAAAGGCTGGCATTAGGGGAAAACACGCAAATATTACAGAAATCGACTTTTCAGAGCGATCCGCACAGAGAGAATGCTTATCACCACGGAAAAGCAGCAGCTCCCAGAATGAAAACTGCAGACGTGGCCGGGCGCGGTGGCTCAAGCCTGTAATCCCAGAACTTTGGGAGGCTGAGATGGGCGGATCATGAGGTCAGGAGTTCGAGACCATCCTGGCTAACACAGTGAAACCCCGTCTCTACTAAAAAATACAAAAAACTAAGCCGGGCGAGGGGCGGGCTGTAGTCCCAGCTACTCGGGAGCTAAGGCAGGAGAATGGTGGAACCCGGGAGGCGGAGCTTGCAGTTGAACTGAGATCCAGCCACTGCACTCCAGCCTGGCGACAAGAGCGAGACTCCGTCTCAAAAAAAAAAAAAAAAAAAAAAAAAAAGAAAACTGGCAGACGTTTGGTGGCCACATCCCGGAAAGTCACCTGTAAAACTGAACTCCGGGGGGAGGTGAGGAGAGACTGCACCTGACTTTATGCTGTGACAAAGGACGTGTACGGTGAAGGAGAAATTGTCTTACCTTCGGCTGCAAACAGGATGGTGGTGTGATTGTACAAGTCAGAAATTTCCTCTTGTGACCAACTGAAGGGGACCTCGGGATCTAAGAAAGAACAAAAGCATGCTTTGTGCCCATTGCCTTCTCTCCTGGCCACCAACTCTCACTGGGACTGACTGAAAGGCACTTCAGGAGAAGAAACAGGGCTGGGGGTAGCTGGGTGCAGTGGGCACCGCCAGGCAGACCAGACTCCCTGCTTCAGGCCCACTGCTGCCCATGTGCAGAGTCACGGTGGAAGAGGTGCCTTTTCTGCTGAGTGTCTGCTCTAGCCAGCGAGTAGCAGGCGGATTTCAGCCTCACCCGCCGCCTTGGCCTGTGGCCCAATACAGGACGTGATCTGCCCCATCTGCCTGCTGGGTGGCCCAGGAAAACGGCTTCAGTTTCGCACTCACAGAAAGGGTACAGTACTACTTCCTCACAGGACTACGGCGAGGGTTGAAAGGCCTACAGTGCGCAAAGTACTAGGCAGGTGACCGGTATTCAAGGAATGACTTTCCCCATCTGCCATCTGACGGGAAAAAAAAGACATCTTTATACAAAGAAGGAGCAAGCACCCAGGTCTGAAGTAGTCTAAGAAATACGGGAAACTGTCCTACCCGGGGGGCTTCCGGGCACCACTGTTTGTTGGGAAATGGTTTGTGCCCAAGAGTCTGGAAGACTTGGGTCCATGCCCCTACCCTGCTGTGTACCAGCTGTGCCCGCAGGCAGTCTGCACTCACAATTCAGGGATTATCATGCTACCACACAGGGAAACCACAACACCTGAAGAACAAAATGAACATGTGCCCAGCAGGCAGCAGGCGCTTGGAGAATGACTGCTGATGCTCATCGGCTAATGCAGAGAACCTGCCATGCGTGGGTGGGACAGCGGCAGCAGCTGGGGCTACAGCTCCATCAAGGCTACTGTACCCTGGCACTGAGGTATTACAAAGGAATCACTGAATCATACTGGGGGACATCCGAGAGAAACACACACCTGTGCAGAGGTCGTCCTTCAGCCAGTCCAGTTCTTTGACCTTAACTACACCACCTGTAAAAACAAACAAAAAGAGAACCTTCCAAACTCTAATCAGGAAAAAAAGATAAACTTTTACACTATATACCAAGATCCATCTATCCACCCACCCACCCTTCCTCTCACCCATCCATCTTCCTGCCCTTCCATCTTTACAGCCAGCCATCCATCCATCCATCCATCCACCTGCCCATCTTCCAGCCCTTCCTTCTATCCATACATCCATCCACCCACCCATCTTCCTTCCCTCCCTCTCCCATCCATCTTCTCATCCTTCCTTCTATCCATACATGCATACATACATCCACCCACCCATCTTCCTGCCCTTCCTTCTACCCATCCATCCCTCCATCCACCCACCCACCCACCTGCCCATCTTCCAGCCCTTCCATCTATCCATCCATCCACCTACCCACCCATTTTCCTTCCCTCCCTCCCTCTCTTCCATCCATCCATCCTCTCATCTACCCATCTATCCATCCTTCTACCCTCCCACCCATCCACCCACCTATCCTTGTTATCCTCCTTCCCTCCTTCTCATCCATCATTCACCCTCTGTCCCTTCCCTCCATTCATCCATCCATTCTTCCAGCATTTTTTGAGTGCTACATGTCAGGGACGGTGCCAGACATAGGGAAAATAAAGATTTAAGAGTCATCTCCCCATCCTTGCAGACCAGCCCCCCAGAGGAGACTGGTTAACCGACAACGGCAAGACTGTGTGGCTGAGTGGTGTCAGAAGGATGAGGCAAATGCACAGGAGGAGAGACAGGAACTCATGTCAGATGGCGGTTATCCGGCAAGGGCTTCCACCAGCAAGCTCCCTCCTTCCTCCCAGCTCTGCTGACTGCCTACTGTACCCTGAGCACTCAACAAATATTGTGACAGTGGAGAGCAAATGCAGACAGGGTACCTGCACCCACAGAGCTTGTAGTCCAGGGGGCAATGGAAAACACCAATAACTAGTCATACGAGCAGATGGTAAAATGCAATTGTGCAAGGTGTTTCTGGAGTCTGTTGGGGGCTCTGGCCTCAAATCTGGAGGTCTGGAGCCCTGAGCGTGATGAGGACTTGCTGGGAGGAGGGAGGACAGAGCACTCAGGCAGAGGGAAGAGCAAGCGCAAAGGACTCGAGGGAAAGTGATTTGAAAATGAGGACGGCTGGGCTGGCGGGGTAGGGGCTGCAGACAGGCAGGGGCCAGATCCCCCAGAAGATGAGACAAGCAACAGGAAACCACTGAAGGGCCTGAAGCCTGGGGGACTGCACCGGAGGAGGAAAGGCTGCACCGACAGACAGCCCCGTTAGGACATAATTGTGTCGCCCATCACATACACTCATCCCTGCAGGCTGTGCAGGGAGCAGACGACCAGGCAGATGGGGGTGGGGCCCATCCGGGCAGAGGGACTGGCCTGTGAGTGAGTGAGTCCTGGCGTGCTGGATGCAGGGCTAGAAATGAGACTGTCAGGAGGAGGTAGGGAGAGCAGGCCGGGGCTGGGCCAGGGAGGCCTGGCCATTCAAGGAGCTGAGACTTCACCCCTCAGGTGATGATGCCCCTGGAAGGTTTTCAGCAGCAGGTGAAGGGGACAGGCCTGCATCTGAGAAAGGGCACTCTGGATGTTTCATGAGGACAGCCTGGACTGGTCAACTAAGGAGCTGGGGAGACCAGCTCGGGGGCTGCTGCCAGTGTCCGGGAGAGAAGGAGCTGGAGTAGGATGAGGCGGTGGATCTGGGAATGAGGAGGTGACCCAAGGAGCGTCCTCAATGCTCTGAAGCTCTGTGATGCCCATAAGACGCCTGCTCCCTTTACTCACCTGTTGCAAGGGACACAGGCGGAGCCCTGCCTCCCAATGTCATGGTCTTGGGTGTCTGTCCTACCTGCTAAACAGAGAAACCTCCCTCCCTGGCAGAAGATCCTCTGGGCCTCACCTCCAGCGGCAGCCAGGTGGCTGTTGAGGGCAATGTTTCGCTGGCACATGGCCAAGAGATCTGCACCGACATCTGGAATGACAGAGGGCAAGCCATAAAGCGCCGGCCGTTACGACGCTTTTATCTCCACGTTTTTGCCTAGAGAGAGCCGTTTGTTATCAGCAGCACAACTGCAGAAATTAGAGAAACGTTTCTCCTGTGTGTCTTACCGCCAAAATTAAATACGCTCACCTTAAGGCTCTTTTCATTGTCTTGTTCCCTAAATAAGAGATTCTCATCCTGATGGGGAGAGACAGTGTGCATTCCAGAGGGAAGGAGTATGAGCTCCCAACATCATCCGAGCATATGGACCACGCACGCACTTCCTTAGATCATCGTTTGCATGTTTATAACCATCCAGGAGCCGGGATCATGAATCCCATTGCACAGATTAAGTGACTTGAGCAACGTCACGTAGCTAGTGAGAGCAAGAGTTGGGATTTGAATCCAGATTTTTCTTTTTTTCTTTTTTATTTTTATTTTTGAGATGGAGTCTTGCTCTGTCGCCCAGGCTGGAGTGCAGTGGCCCGATCTCAGCTCACTGCAAGCTCCGCCTCCCGGGTTCACGCCATTCTCCTGCCTCAGCCTCCCGAGTAGCTGGGACTACAGGACTCACAGGCGCCCGCCACCTTGCCCGGCTAGTTTTTTGTATTTTTTAGTAGAGACGGGGTTTCACCTTGTTAGCCAGGATGGTCTCGATCTCCTGACTCGTAATCCGCCCGTCTCGGCCTCCGAAAGTGCTGGGATTACAGGCTTGAGCCACCACGCCCGCCTGAATCCAGATTTTCTTTTTTATTTTTTTTAATTTTTATTTTTTTGAGACGGAAGTCTCGCTCTGTCGCCCAGGCTGGAGTGCAGTGGCCGGATCTCAGATTCACTGCAAGCTCCGCTCCGGCCCTCCGGCTTCGCCAATCTCCT